AACATATTGAATTTCCATCTTACTCAAAAATACTTTTCAAAACTCTAGAATTCTTGACCGCAGAAAGTGCGTTAATTAATCACAGTTTCATTAAGTATTTTAGTATATGTGTGTGACTATGTCTATGGGCAATTATTCTCGAGCCTCGAAGTCTTTAGATCGTTTTTGAATTCAACTTTTACGTCATATATACGTTGTATATACTGCGAGCGAGTCATCGTTAATTTGAAATATCTTTAATTATATCTTTCATACTTTGCGTGAGAACGTCATATACGCTTTGCAAGAACTGACTGAATCGGACAGCTGAAACATACCAATTTATTATTTTCAACAGTTACTCATCATATGAAGTATAGGCTATACGTCAGTGCGCACTTCACTACCGTTATATCTTACGTAAGTTTCTCCGCAAATACTAAAAAAAACTACAGTACAGCTGTACACGTTTGCTTGTTTTGACATACAGCACCGTACGAGTTTTAACCGAAAATAACAAAAATTAAAAACATCCGACTATAAGTATAATACTTATATAGAATATAGTAGGATGTTTTTGATTTTTTATATATAAACCCCCAAAATTTGGCCATTAATCATTATGATATTTTTGAACTGTTTGTGCTACATGCAGCGACTGTAGTACATATAGTGCTAAAATATAGTGCTTAAATCTTTTTTATTTACAAAAGTAATAAACAAAATCAGGAGGCTAAAGGAGTAAAGCGTCTCTCTTGTGCTAAGCACTATTCCAAATTGCAGTTAATGGCATGTACGTACACATATAGGTATGGCCGTCGTAAAAATAGAGTCACGATCTTACTCAACGGCCAGTTTATGATAGTTTATACCTGTAAACCACATACGAATCATAAGTATTCTCTAGTTTAATCAATCCGCGTATTTTCAGTTCTAAAATGTTGTATTTCGGCCGATGGGAAAAATCGTGACTGAATCTTTATGACCATTACGATCATATGGAAACCCAAGGCTTTAATTAAGCCCATTTTCCACCAGACGAAGTGGTAAGGACGAGGTTACTCGCTGGCCTCAGAGTGACAAAACGTAACAAATCAATGGTTTTACTAATACCAACCCTATTCCAAAACACTAATTCTAACTAATTCTAACCCTAACCCTACTCCAAGTTTGTTTCTATAATCTTGAAGAAAAATGTTTTGACGAAATGTCATTCTGAGGTCAGCGATCTTTCCCAAGTAGAAACTGATCCAACGTTTTCGCGGCGAATGCAGTTTTCGCTGACCAATCACATTGCCAAGATTTGTAGTGTCGCTTCGCGTGAACAAATTCGCCCAGTGGAAAATGGGCTTTAAGTGACACGTAAGTCACATTACATATACGTCAATGCATAATATTTACGTCATCAGACAAACACATACGCCAACTAAACGTGTTGTTGGACATCTGACAATTCGAGACATCATGCAACATATGTCTCATGCCCAGGAGAAATTTGGCGCTTTCTTTTGTCCTATTAAAGGCCCGCGTTTACACTTGCAATGTTCGCTGCGATTTTAGATGCGATTTTCTGCTTCTGATGTACGTGAACGAGTGGATAAGTTATGAATATTTCGATGAGGGCATGAGCAATCGTAACTTATTTATCAGGCATCCTTTTACAACCGGATTGTCAAACTCTGGAACACTATTTGCAAATCAGTTCCTGTGCATGGCTTTTCCAGCATTTCATCATTTAAACAATTACTCAAGCAAACATATACCTGATTTTATTCAATGCATCCTTTGACATAGCCGACTTCCCGTGCTCATGGACACTGTCTCGTGACTGTTCTTGCCATTGAGAATTGGCCTTGCATACAGTATAATTTACTATTTAGTCTTATGTTGACCCTATGTTATTTTAACGTTATATTTTAACGGGAAGGCGTCTCGCATGGGTACTTCAGTCCCGTTCGCGCCTTTGCCGATTGGTTATTTTCAAATGTATTTGTACATATTTATAAATATTAACCAATAAAGTTGTTAAATAAAATTGCACTAGACATCGCGAGAATGGGCCTTTATGCATATCAAACTAACTGCATGTACGAAATATCTCAAAAACAAAACAGCGAACGAAAAACCGCAAAAGAAGTTACTCTATAGTTATTTTAGTTTTAAATAAGACAATAAAAATTAGTTATAGCTTTCTGTAACATCATTTTCTCACACGGATACTAATGATCACATACAACCAATTGCTTTGTCCTCTGACAACACAACAATGCGACCAATTAAACAGACAGTTAATAATGGTTTTTTACCTTTGGCTTTGTCTAATTTTATTTTCAAACCGACCAACATGCTCGACAAGTGATCCTATAATTAGACCTTAATCCCGATTTGACAGACTTATGGAATCGTAAATAGTTAAGATATGTTTATGCGACATCTTTGGCAAGGTGATAAAAACACATCACGTTCGAACTTGACATATCCAGGAACTAGAGAAATCTTAGATCACGTAATGGGCGACAGACAAGAATTTCCTATAACTAGGAATGTGCTGCCTCACCCCGAAGGGATCAAAGGCAGCATGCACAATTTTCTGAATAAGGGGCTGTTTATATGATCCCGCTTTGCCAGGACGAGATGTAAGGCAAGATGATTAGGGTTAGGTTTAGGCATTGAAATAAATTACGGTGCACGTTTCAGCAAAATACTATATTTATTTTCTAGAGATAGATTATAGTTAACTGTAAACGAAAGGTTGTTCAAGCAGTCAATGCCAATGGGTTCATTTCTTCGTGTATGGCAAACATAACATTAACTCGTTTTTCTTTCTTTCGTTCATTAGCAGGAAAGCAAGGTACGAGCGGAATGCAGGACTAGTTTCATGCACGTTCCTACCATCACTACAAGGAGGCAAAATCCAGTCAACTTCCGTCAACATGTCATCGAGAATTGTACGTTGACCCTAAACCACGCCTGCAATTGTCACAACGTGAACTGCCCCGTGGACCATTGTGGCTCCATGAAACGTGTTTGGAAACACGTGCTCTCGTGTAACCAGAGTCCAGAGAATTGCCAAGTCTGCAAAAATTTTCAAACCCTGGTGGGTTATCATAGTAGACTGTGTCAGAATACTTCATGTAATGTGGTGTTTTGTAGCGCCATCAGAAAGAGGAGATACAGTAGGTCACAGCTGCTGAATCACCAAGAAAAACAGTAGAGGCTTCAAGGAGTGGCTAGCCTATTGGGAAGTTAGCGTTTTACAGCCTTTCCGAGGAAAATGAACTGACTCAAAATCTATTCATTCCCTGGTCCAAGACTATTAAAGACATTTTTACTATTGAAGATCAGATCTACAGCAGACTATTGAATATCAAGATTGTACGTGTCCTTTCCATTGTGTATACAAGAAAATAGACTAACAGTAAAGTCAATACAATATATTGGTCAGTATCTGATCGTGAACTACTAAATGATCTGAAGCCATATGGACAACAGAAAGACAGATTAGGCAAAAACTCATTCCATCACCAAAAGTGCTCTCAAAAGAGCTCTCAAAGAGATAACGTGGAAAAACTGTAAAATAATAAATTTGTCACTTGCGTAGCAATAATCAAAATAGAAGTAAAAAGATGCACATTTTCAAGAGGTCTTGTGGTCAATTTCCAATTAACATTCCTTCAACCCAAATTCAACTTTAATCCTAATTTTTATCCTGATCCTGCAAGACCCAGTCATGATATAAATTGTGACATCATTTAAGGATATTTTGATTTAAAAAATTTATTTTAAGTTTCTATAAGCAGGTGTGCAAAGCTGCCTAAAAACATTTGTAGTTGTAAGATATAGTTATAATGAAATTATAACATCAAGTATAATTATTAGTGTATATTGATAGAATAGTGTTTCTAATTTATGATAAGAATATAATATTAAAGAACTGACAAGTATTTGCTTCCATCCAACTTACATAATGGAGTGTTTCCAGGGGGGGGGGGTGTATTGTGTTCCCATGGAAAAATTTTGAATTACCATGTATACTATCAATGTGAAAACTGAACTCTATAATTACCATTATTGGTTATTATAGATCTCCCATTTGGTATTTACCATTAATGGTACTTTCCTGTGCACAGGAAAAAATAAAAGTACCATTAATGGTAAGTATTAAACATCATAGTATTTACTACTTTACCATATAAGAAATCTATAATAACCATTTTCACATATCGGTGATCGAGTACCAGTTAACCAGTGAGCTAGACCTTTGAGAGGTCGTAAACAAGTCGTAAGTGTTATTTTCTGCTGGCTGAGGAACAAAAGAGGCGGAAAAAGTATTTCTTACCCACTTCTGCAGGGTTCGAATTAATTCTGAAAAAATGGTTCGTGAATTAATTTTTTTATTTTAAGGACATTTTAAGGAATTTTCAAGGAATTTTCTCTAAATGGAAGTTAAAAAGTGGAAGCACTGCAATTTTCAAGTATATAATGTACAATCGCAAACTCGCAAAGAAATATAATTTTGGGTGGAATTATAATCGTTTTTAAGTACAATCTAACAACAATATCTTCAGAATATATGATCCTTCATCACATTTACAAAGAACTGAATTTATTATTGTATATTTTTATCAATCAATTTGAGAGACTTTTGATTCGTGATTTTGATCAATTTCTATGAAATTGGGTTCGTGAAAAATGAAAAATGAAAATTGATTCGTGATTCACGAACCGTTATTTCGAACCCTGTTCTGAGCATAGAGATTATAAATAACACTAGAGGAGGCATTGTAATCTTAATTCAGTAAAAAAAAGGGAACGCGACTATTGGGGGGCAAATTCAAGTCCCGGATGTGTATTCGTGTTCTCATTGGTGACGAGTTTCAAATCAGCCAATGAGAGCACGATTTTATATCCGGGACTTGAATTTGCCCCCCATTCGCTGCGTTCCCAATTTTTAAACTCGATGCCTCCTCTAGTGTTATTTATAATCTCTATGGTTCTGAGGGATGTCTTCAGTGCTTGATTCAGTACCGTAAAAACCAAACAAAGTATAACCCATCACTTCTAAGGTGCACACGCGGGCCACTTGACCGATCTTCTCGATCGTCATACACATCATAGCCAAAGAATTCGTCCGTTATATCGTCATAGCTATCTTCTGACACGTCCGAGAAGTCATCAACGAAATCATCATACAAGTCACCAAAGTAGTCATCATAGAAGTCATCAAAGTAGTCATATTCTTGGTCAGACTGGTCAGAGACCGAGAAGTCCTCTTCCTCGTCAGATCGATCAGGGACAGAGAGGTCATCTTTCAGCTCAATCTGATCTGAGAAGTCATCTTGTTCGTCAAATTGTTCAAGATCGTCTTCTTCGTAATCATACTCTTCCAAGACGTAACCTTGTTCATCATACTCTCCAAAGACGTCATTTTGTTCATCATACTGTCCAAATACGTCCTCTTGTTGGTTAGACTGTTCAAATCCTTCAACCACCTCATCTTCATCGTCATACTGGTCAGAGAAGTCCTCTTCATCGTATTGTCCAAAGACGTCTACTTGTTTGTCATACTGATCAACAAAGTCCTTTTGTTTGTCATGCTGATGAAAGAAGTTATTTCGTTTATCATAGGAATCAAATAATTGCTTTTCTTTATGAAAATTACCATAATATTTTTTTCGTTTGTTACACTGATGATATAAGTCCTCCAGTTGATCATATTGATCATAGAAGTCATCTACTTCCACGACATAATAGTCAAAGAGATCTTGTTGGTGAAACAAGTCCTCGCTTTGGTCACACTGGTCATAGAGAGCTTTTCCTTGGTCATCTTGTTGGTCATATTCATCAAAAGGGTCCTCGCGTTGGTCATACCGGTCTAAGTGGTCCTGTCGTTCGTCATCTCGTTGGTCATATTGATTAAGGGAATCATCGCGTACGTCACACTGGCCACAGAGGTCCTCTCGTTGGCCATTTTGATCAAAGGACTCCTCACGTTGGTCGCAGTCATGTCGTTGGTCGTCCTGCTCTGGTAGATTCAGTTGTAGGTAGTAATGATCTTCTTGCTTTTGGCGACAAACATCGCTCTTATTTTCTTCTGTGTAGTTTTCATCGTCTTGGACCTGGACTTGAGTATGTAGTCGAGTGTTGTCCAGTTTCTTGCAGTCACTTACTTCATTGCTGCTTGGTTTGGACTTAGGTTGCTTCATTTCAGCCTTGTCAATTCTGCAACTTTATTTGTCAAGGTCATCACTCCGCCATTTATATTTTAATCTAATTTAATCTGTGAAAAGGAATAATGCCTAATAAGTTTACTGCACCTGACTATGGGGGTCGAGAATAGAATCGAATATTAAAGATGTTAAAAAAAGTTTTAAATCGTCTGATTTGCAGCTAGTGTTAATTTAAGAGTTAGCGACTGGATTGTGTAGCATTTTGCCGTTATTAAAACATACAGTAGCCCGCTATGCTATGCGGGGCGTAGCCAGCCTGACAATTTAGTCCCGCTAAGCAAATTCAAAATGATTATCATTATTCATTTCTTTAGAAATTGATTGTTTTCACAGTCAATGAACACGAAAATATTTGCATAGCGGGACTAAATCGTCGTACACAATCAATAAAGGTATATTAGATTTATTGATTTTAATACAATCAATGTAACTTAACTTACATTGCGAATAAAAACCGTGCATAAATTATACGATTGGGGCTTGCGGAGAGCAAATTTTACCGCTTGTAAGGTGTATCAGTCGGAATGTTAAATTTGTGAAGGGAACCCAACTGTACGCCAGGAGGCCTGAATTACATTCAGTGAACAAATCAAAACAAATAGACATTGTAAAGACAACATACCTAATTTAGACGACGTGTTCGCTTCCTGTTTTGGTCGCTTCAAACCATGACCGCAATTAAATCCTTTAATTTTCCAAACATTTGTTCATTGCAACTGCCGTACGTTACGTTAAACTCTACACAATTGACAGATAAACACTACTGTCTTCTACTATTACAGAAGCTTCTAATGCATTGTAGTCATATGCGCAATGGAAAACTAAAACAATTTTGTACCACGATTTCAGGAATCAGGAAGTTCATTAACACTTTCAATTGCGAATCTAAATTATGCGAGTAGATAGCCCCCCCCCCCCGCCAAACTCTGGCCGCGGAAGTAAATGTGCATGTATGACGTCACGCCTATTTCCTTCCATTTGAATATTAAGCGTAGCTACGTATGACATCAGTGTAGCTTACACATGGCGTATAATAATCAATCTCGTTCCCAGAGTATGCCTGTTCGCGGGTTAGGCATGCCACTACCTAACCCGCGAACAGGCATACTCTGGGAACGAGATTGTATAATAATGAGCATGTTGCAAGATCAATGATGTTTCCACTTTCCTAATTCTAATTTCTCAACTTTTCAAACTTAAATTTTCATATAGTGGTGATCAGTACCAGTGAACCCTATATATCTAGAGCAAGAACTTTGATCATTCGACCTATAGAGGTCGTAAACAGGTCGTGTTATTGTGTTTCTCACGCACTGCTGGGGAACTGGGTCAAGGGTGGGTTCCAGGTCATCAGAATCACTTTTTTGCTTGCCTCGTGCTAGCCTGACCCACCCACCCTTTGGCAAGAAGATCCTGTTTGTTTTTTAAATACGAGATATTATTATCATTTCCCCAGCTAATTCTAGTTTTTTCTAACGGATCCTAACGCTAAACAAGTTATCACTTATCAGTTCATAAAAAGACATAGTGTTATTCTTTAAATTGAGGTTAAAATAATGAAAGTTGCACAAGAATGACAAGATCAATGATGTAAAATAATAAATTTGTCAATTGCCAGTAGAGTAAAAAGATGCACATTTTCAAGAGGTTTTGTGGTCAATTTCCATACTAACATTCCTTCAACCTAAATACGACTTTAATCCTAATTTTTGTCCTGATCCCCCAAGACCCCAGTCGTGATATAAATTGTGACATCATTTAAGGATATTTTGATGGGGAAAAAATTTATTTAAGTTTGTATAAGCAGGTGTGCAAAGCTGCCTAAAAACATTTGTAGTTGTAAGATATAGTTATAATGAAATTATAACATCAAGTATAATTATTGTATATTGATAGAATAGTGTTTCTAATTTATGATAAGAATATAATATTAAAGTAACTGACAAGTATTTGCTTCCATCCAACTTACATGCATAATGAGTGTTTCCAATTTTTAATTACCATGTATACTATCTATGTAAAAACTCTTATTAATGGTATTTTCCTGTGCACCAGAAAAGATAAAGTACCATTAATGGTATTTTCCTCTGCACAGGAAAAAATAAAAGTACCATTAATGGTAAATATTAAACATCACAATTTTTACTAATTTACTATATGGAAAATCTATAGCGTTTACAAATAATTGCGCAAGCAAACTAATTCATCATCATACAGTTGCAATTTTAAACTTAATTAACATAATTAGAATAATTAAACAAATTAATTAAACAACGCAAATTGAATAAGAAACAATTAAACAAACAATAAAACAACACTAGAGGAACACTTATGTTAATATAGAATGTTAAGTAAAGAGTTTTGATCGTATCGAGTCCGATTGTTTGTTTAAACTAAAATTAAATTTATTGCCAACTGCATCCATTCTAAGCTATCTCAGTCATGCATGTATGCAATTTTCAGCCACAGACAACTGATGTCACTGCAAACCACTTATCAACACGCCCTTTCAGATCACCATTCCTTGACATAAATGCAACCTTCAGAACATAATCGCTATTCAAAATATTTAAAAGGTTGCGCACTTGTGGATTTCTACCGACTGGACAAGCCATACGAGCTGAATTGGATGTTGATCTGCCTTGCTCATTGATTTGTTGAAGTACTGCTCGGATAAGAACTTTTCCTACATCAATATCTTCACAAAACCATGGTCCAATCTTATAGCCTTCGTCCGGAACCATTATTTCCCGGGCAACAATATAACCAACAACAGACCCTTCATTATTCAAGGCGACACAAGAGCGACTTGCTGGTGAATACAACCATTTGTATAAAAACTGTTTACGATCATATCCAAACGTAAGCTTATCGTAGTTAAATACAGCTTCAAAATCTACATCCAAAACCTGCTTGACGTGGTATGTTGCATCCATGGAGATCCCTTGAAGTTTTCTTAAGGCTGTTGCTGAATTAAGTGTATGAACCTCAACAGAATTATACAAAATCTCATGAACACCATAATATTTTTTGTACATTTCAATCTTATAAGGCATTGGTAGTGTATAAAGAGATAAATTTTCTATTGGTTCTGACATTTTGAAGGCTCTGAGAGATAATTGTGATCCGTATCCACACTTCCGATATTTATCTTCAATGTAAAGCGCCCCAACGTGTCGATAGCCATACTCGTATTTAAACACAGCTATTACTCCAATAGGTTTACCATCTAACATGCCTGCATACAATGCTGTTGAGTCAAGCGCAAGAAAGCATTCTACATCGTCAATTGTCGGGCGCATTTGCTTTAATCTTGTCTGTAGAAAGTACTGCTTTAGATAAGTTGATTCTTGTGTAATCCTTTCAATGCAAAACATTTTTAAAATAATGAAAGTTGCACAAGAATTGACAAGATCAATAATGTTTCCACTTTCCTAATTCTAATTTCCCAACTTTTTAAACTTAAATTTTCATATAATGGTGATCAAGTACCAGTTAACCCTAGCTATATATCTATAGAGCAAGAACGTTGGTCATTTGAATCTACGAGAAGTCGTAAACAGGTTGTAAGCGTTATTATGCGTTTCTCACACTGCTGGGGGACTGGGTCAAGGGTGGGTTCCAGGTCATTGTTTGTAATTATGAGATATTATTGTCATTTCCCCAACTAATTCCAGTTTTTTCCAACAGATCGTAATGCTAAACAAAGATATCACAAGATATCACATAAAACCATAGTATTATTCTTTAAATTGAGGTTCAAATACAAAATTTTAGCACACTCTTTGCCACCTTCGTGTTAACCGCACAAAAAAACCCAATAGAAACTGACTGGAACTGACATCCATTAGAGCTCTTCTATTTCGCCATCTTGAATTCACTTTGCAAGAAAAACGTAAAGTAGTTTCTTAGGTAGTTGTTCTTAGCAACTGCTTTAAAGAGAGGTATCCACCCTCCTGGAACATTAAATTTCAATGTTTTCAGGGGGGTGATGGCCTCTCTTTATGGCACTTGCTAAGAACATGGTGGACTGGAAAAATATCAACGGAAAAATCCCTTACGCTGAAATTAATAAGAAGTGAGACCTCTGTATGGCATTTACTCTGTGTTAAAACTCCAGTTTCAACAAGAGTTTGATATTGTAAAGCTGTACCTAAAATTGTACCTAAAATTGTACCTAAAAATGCTAAAATTGTACCATATTATATAAAACTGCACCTAAAATTGTTATTAAATGCAACAGTACACTACAAATGTATATATATATATATATATACACATAGCTTTAACGTTAAAACACTTAGTAAGATATACCTGAACTGTTACATATTTCGATCCGGTCACTTCTAGAACTTTTTGCACGTGGGATCTTTCGCCTTTGATATTTCTGTTATTTCACCTTTTCAAACCGCTATTTCAGGCACATAAACAGTCAAACTCCATTAAACAATTGTCCTCCATATTTTTAAATTTATCGTTAACAAATACCACCATTTAAATCAGAGTAAATTAAGTAATAAACTAATATAAAACACTTTTAAAATTAATTGTTCACTTTTATTTTCTTTCCCGCCAAAGCGCAGCGTGCTTCCACAATTGAATTTTCAAGTACTAATTTTCAAGTACTGCAGAAATTGGAAGCGATTTAATACAGTAATATGTGAATTTTGTCAAGTTTATTGTTGGATTTTTTATCATTTTTAGTTCAACTAACTAAAACAATTTGAAGGCTGTCCTTTTGATACAGTATAATCAATGTGAAAAATCTAAATACCTTTTTCCTCCTTTTTTTCAAGCTCAATTCTATATGCTGTGTGCTTCCACATTTTAATGATATTCAAATATCATTTAAAAAATGACCACCAATGTTTTGGTCTGTGCAAGAAAATTAACCTGAGTATCAGGCTCTATTTTCCTGAGTATCAGGCTCTATTTTACAAATAGAGCCTGACACAAAACTTAACCTGATCGCTTTCCGCCCACAGCAAAGTTTATATTTAGTAACCAATCAAAATGTCGCAGGAGAAATTTAAATTTCACACAACGACAACAACAATCTAATTATAGCATAGGCAGCTCACTAAACGGCTGAATTTAAATTAAAACTGCAATGAACTTATAAAATTAACAAAAATAATCACAAATTAGCGAAATATATTGCAAATGTAGCTTATATTAAATCGCCACCCGGTTGCTCTCTCCTCCGCAGAGGTTTCAGTGACTACAATGAGCTTTACATGGCGCTTGCCGTATTTATCAACAAACTGACGTATAATTATAAAGTATACTTTATAACTATACGTCAGTCGATAGTGCAATCTGATGGCGATTTAATATAAGCTACATTTGCAATATATTTCGCTAATTTGCGATTATTTTATAATTTTACTGCAGTTTTAATTTAAATTCAGCCGTTTAGTGGGCCGGCTATAATTGTAGTTGTGATCGTTATAAAATATATCAACAACAATAGTATAATCTAATTAGCACCAGCCAATCAAATGACAGATTTAAAAATAGGTACGCGACCGCGTACATGTATCTGCGCATTAAAGGTCCAGACACGCTGGACGCGATTCGACAACGCGACGCGATTTTTCGATTTTCACTGACCGTTAAATTTAATCCAAGTTTATATTTTCCAAATATTTAGAAGCGCTATAACATTCTAAGTTACTTGTTCTACATATGTTTGTAACTGATTTGCTCTCATTGGCTGTTTTTCAAACTAATTATACTGAAAAATCGCGTCGCGTTGTCGAAGCGCGTCCGGTGTGTCTGAATCTTAAGGTCTGATTCCACGACGGCGAAATTCGTCGCGAGAGCTTGTGTCTGCGAAATACGGTGGTTGCACATGAGCGATTGTATTGAATTGTCCCACTTTGTCCGCTTTCGCAGTAAGTAGAAATGTTTCGCATTCATTGATGGTGCATTCTCGAAATGACATTTTTACAGCAATTGTGCGAAATTGTGCTAGTTGAAATTACATGCCTGCTTCAGATGTAATATTTACATTTAACTAGTGACTTCTAAATTAAGAGGACGAGAACCATTTATATCCCGAATCACGGCAACTGATAACAATCATACAAAAATGTTTCTTTTTATCTGGAGCTAAATATCTGCTATTCATACAGTTCATTACTTTTAAGAACAATTTAAAGAAAATAATTAATTAAGACTGTAAAATGTGTGGATTTATTAAAGACGTGGGATTAGACGTCTGTACATGGAGTCATGAGCTAATAATAGTTTCTGACATTTAAAACAACAGGGCTACGTTTATCCTATGCTTTGTTTTCATAGTTTAGCCTAGTTTCAGAGGCCTCCATTAAATAACAGTCAAGATATATACGCAAATATAATTTGCGTGTCTATTTAAAATTTGTAATTGTTTCGTGAAGATTCAACCATAAAACAATTGCCGGAAATACAGGTCCTGTTTATAAAAACTCAGGGAAAACCCGTGCGGTATGAAATGCATGGCGTAAACATGTCAATCAAATATCTATAAATATGACGTTTTATAATTGCACAGTACATCGTGTACGTTCTTGTTGTAGAACTTGTGTTGCTCCAAATCGAGTATGAAGTAAAATCAGAAGCATACTGTCACAGGCTAATTTTGTATTTTAATACCTCTGGAAATATCAAGGCTTTGGTACCCCTATCTATCACAAAACTGAGTAACAAATCCAAAACGAAGTATGAGGACTAATATTTTTATATATATCATTTCACAGATTAAAAGTATTATTCAAGAAATATGTCCATTTTGATCTTAACGTGATACAAAAATACTAAATAACATGCAAAATTCAGTGCCAAAGAGGGAGTTATTTTGCGGTAGTTAAATATGTAAACATATGTTCTCAAACTGGCAGAGTTTAATACCAATTAAAGCTCGCAATGCTATATATTTGGTTTGATACGAAGATAAAATAGTAAATACTCATAATAATTACAATATGTCCATGACCTTACTCAAAAATTTAGATTATTAAATCACATAATGGAACAACTTGCAATTTCCTACGCTCACTCGTTAGCAATAGTTCTCTTCAACACTCGAAATAAATTACATATTTCCGCACAACCATGTATAAATATCCTCTATACATTCCAGTTTACCTTTAATTTGTCAAGTGGTAGGCACAATATTAGTCCTTTTGATTTGTTATTCCCTTTCCCCAACACGGGAAGTGATAGGAGCTTGAAAAAATGACAGTTGAATACTTGCGTGTAATTTGCTCGGAGCAATTTGCAATCAACATTGCAAGATTGATTGCAATGTTGCAATACTCATGGGAACAGAACATCCGGTTTGACTGTAAGAGTTATATCAAAAAGACTGCTATAGAAGAAGATTTTATCAAAATAAAGTCAGGATAAAGTCTATTAATAGTTTAATACCACGATTACTGATTACTACTCTTGAAAGCTTTTCGAAAGACGCCATCTTGTTTTAAAGCTGTTCTAGCCTGCGAACAGGCCTTCAAAACAAGGTTGACGGACTTAACAACTTAACTTAACTTACTTAACTTTACTTTACTTTACTTTACTTTACTTTACTTTACTTTACTTTACTTTACTGACTGACGCGATAGCAATATATCTGCGCTACGCGCAGATACAAAAATGTGGATAATGCCATTTAAAAAACCCCACAAAAATTCTGTTTTGTTCGATAATTTAATTGGCATTACAGATGTTTTTTTATTTTTGGTATATATTGAAAGACTTTTAATAATCGGGAGGTTTACCAAAGACGACGCCGACGTCGAAATTAACGTAAAAATGGCGTGATGTGCCTATTTATAGATGTGCCATGCCATTTTCACGTCCTCTTTGGCGTCGCGTCGTCTTTGCTAAACCTCCCTAATGACATGTAGCACACTTTTTTAAAAAAATTGGCATTTCTAATAACGTCTGCAATTGCTACGCAACCCGATTATAAATCACGTACAATGGTGCGAGATGGCCATGTCACGTCATAAAAGTCCTTAATTTTCGTTATTCTAACAGAAACAAATGGTCAGGCAGGTTTGTAGTTATATAGGACGACGTTTTGATTTCACGATTGTGGTGTAGGGATTTGGTGTGGATTAATTTATCGAGCCATATTAAATGTAAGTTAATTGGTTGATATAAGTTAAAGAAACTTATGTTCGTCGGTTTATATTAAATAGAATATTTTCCCAATATCTATTAATATTGATCCCATGGCTCCCATGAGGGCTGTGCAGTTATGTAATTTTATTCTAGTGGATACATTCCTTAGCATTCCTTAGTACAAAATGAATGATCATGCACTCCCAATTCTTTTAATTGTACGAACAAAATGTGTTTTGTTCACTTTGTGCCCATGAAAAATAATTGTATAAGGGTTTTGTAGATGAAAATTTCGAGTGTAAATTTTATACATTTTTAGACCTATAACCAGAAGCTGTTGCGAAAAATGCAACTATAGGCCTTCTGGTGGGAATCAAACCTGCGCTTGGTGTGATTGAGCCAATTGTTCGTGAAATAGTATGTTCGTGTAGTCATATTATCAGTAGAGACTAGATTGACGTTTACCGCCGACTACCAACATCAAACATCAAATTGCACGAAAAAACATGTCAAATAAACAAATGGATAAGATTCTGCCGTTGTCTGTTCAGTTGTATGACGTCATTATGTGGGTGGGAAGAACAAAAAAGTTGCTCACGAGCCGCCGAGGCGAGTATACTGTATATACAGAGCATAGTGTACATCTATAACTGAACAAAAAACAGCAAAATTTTATACAACAAAAAGAAAAACCTCGAATTTTTATCCACCCGAACATTTGGAAATTTGAAAAATTCGAAATTTTACAAATATCACGCGTATATGATTGATACAAATTAGGAATGCCATTGGATAAGGTTTTGTGTGACGTATTCCGCGCGTCTGTTCTCTAATTTAATAAATCATGGCTCTTGACCAATGAAAGCGCTTGAATTTTTAACGTTACGTTATTAATTATTTAACAATTATTCGCTGAAGGCGAGGTGATCATGGTGAATAAAAACCGGACGAAGTCGACGTTTTTTATTCACGATAATCACCGAGCCTGAGGTAAACAATTGGTTTAGTGTAATTTCATAGGTGGTTATTTAAAAAAAAAACACATTTCTTCGTCATTTAATTGACAAAACGGCTTCGGGTGCCATTTTGAAAATCGCTTAGGTATAAGTATCGCGTTATAATCAATCAGTGGTGGCTTATTCGGAAATTCTGAATTTATTCCGAAAAATTGAAACAGAATTTTGTAGAATTTTCATGATTTCACTTTTTTACCCCGGTTGATTAGCGCAAATTTTCCACCTTTTTTCATGTTAAGAAATGTTTTGCCACAAGGTGGGAAAACATACCTTTTTAGAAAAAAAAAATACCCAAGTATTTTTAAAGTGCTTATGAAACGAAATTTTTGCCTCATTTTTTATTGTTTAATTAAAAAGTACCGCTCAAGTGATGAAGTATGACGTTTACAGTTTATTCGTATATTCTGAGTTGTGGCGTCACAAGAAGGACTTGAGATAATGGCAATAACAAGAAAGTCTGATATCTTGGTTGAGTATTTAATAAAATTCAATGAAACTTGGCACACTTAGTGGGTGTAACAAAATCAACAATTTGACTTGTTTATATGGTTGTCATGGCAACACACTTGTTCCCAGTTCCTTCTCTTCCAATTTCTATGTGATCTATTTCCAACGAAATAAATAGCAATTTCTGCAATTTTCGCTCATTAATATAATACCTGTTGGCATTGTGATCAGTTTAAAGAGAGAAGAGATTGGGGGACTAGTCTGTTGCCATGGCAACCACATGACCTACCATAAATATTCGTATGGGTGCGTCCACTAAGTGTGCCAAGTTTCGTTGAATTTTATTGAATACTCACCAAGATATCAGACTTTCTTGTTATTGTCATTGTCTCAAGTCCTTCTTGTGGAAGGTTCCTTTTTTGAAATTGACCCCTAGCTTTAATGCCAGTAGTTAATACGCCACACATACTAGCCTTACACAATGATCAGAGAGCTATGGCGACTGTAACATGGTGATAGGGTTATAAAATTGTAGTCTGTGTACAGCCGTTACTCTCGACGAAGCGCGCGAGAGAACGTCTGTGAGTTAGATGCATAATCCTTGTTCAGGTCATGTGGATAGTTCACAGATTTGGGGACCGCCTCTGATTGGACAGTGCTTTATTGAATAATTTATGACAAATGAAGCTATTTCATTGGTTAATTGATAATTTAGCATGCGTTTAAAATAACAACACAAAAAATTTAAAATTCCAGATCAAGAATCAAGATTTCCTTCGGGGCATACAAAGGTTTGAAAGACTTGAAATACAATCTGTTGAGTTTAATTTTGCGCTATATCGAAGTCTAATTAAGAAAATCAAGATAAAATTTTAGTGTTTGGTCGACACTCAGCGAACAATGCTGACAAATATATAAAATACAACAAACTATCGGACGGAAATTGACAATTTATAATTGAAATTTAATAAATTGACAATCCGGTTTATATGTCGCGACCCCTCGTGATAAACGGCATTTTCTTGACATGCAATATGTTTAACTTCCTCTTATATATATATAAATATATATATATATATATATATATATATATATATATATATATATATATATATATATATATATATATATATATATATGCCAAGAACTGAGCTTGTACACCGGACTTGTCGGCAATGATCATCGTTCAGCATTGTTCGCACTCAAAACAAATCTCTTCATCGAGAAATATATGCAACATATTTCTGGTGCATCGTTTTTCAGATTGTACTTCAAGTCTTTCAAACCTTTGTATGTATTTTAAAATTTTTGTGTTGTTATTTTAAACGAATGCTAAATTATCAATTAACCGACGAAATATCTTCATTTGTCATAAATTATTCAAATAAAGCACGTTTACTGTCCAATCAGAGGCGGTCTCCAAATCTGGGAACTATCCACGTGACCTGAACAAGGATTATGCATCCAACTCACAGACGTTCTCTCGCGCGCTTCGTCGAGAGTAACTGCTGTACACAGGTTGTAAAATTGCAGCCGCAATCATTGAATGGCGGAAATTTGTCCATTATTTTGATGTTGATGAACGAGTCATCTCACTTCGGAAGAAGGAGAAATATTTCTCCCCTCGGAAAATATGTAGATTCTTTGAAATTGACTAAAATTTCGAGCACTTTTATACTGTCAACGGAGAGCTCATAACAACAACTGCAACACCTAACCAACAATCCAATTTAACAGCGGTTTATCTCGGTTTATCTATTATTTCCTGTCAACCGTCGTCATCTTTCGCATGGGCATCACTTAACCCTCCGCCAAGTCGATCCTCTTAGACAACCACATCACTTATAGAAAGGCCGAAATTCGGAGCGCCAACGATAGAAGAACTAGTGGTTGGAAGAAACAAAACCCCTGCGAAATTCGCCTTTATAATATGACTTATAGAACGATGAGGATAATTTTATTTAACCCACTGACGTATTTTTTCAATATTTTCTTCTAAGCACTGTGCTCCATATTGTTTTAAACAGTGCAGTTGTCTTCGCAGAACAGCAACACAACAATGATTTTGGGGCAACACTTTTCTATAAATTAACCACTCAATTTGCAAACGTCTCATCACTTGATGGGAGGGGCACTCTGTGTAGGGCACTGCATGTGTGTCTGGCGTATTAATTACTGGCGTTAAATGGTTCAATTTCAAAAAAGGTACCTTTTTCGCGAGTTTTGTTGACGAAGTGGTAAGCACGAAAAATTTGCGATTTCCGCTATTCATGAAAAACTAGACAATGTCAAAATAGGTGGGAATATTGAGACAGCAGGCATGTGATGGAAAGGTTAAAAATACTTGGCTATTTGTTTCTAATTAAAAAGGTATGTTTTCTCACGTTGTAGCAAAACATTTCATAGAAAAGTTAAATCCTGAAAGTTCTAAAAAATTCTGTTTTCAATTTTCGGAATTTAGTGAAAATCAGAATTGCCGAAAGCTACCACTGATTATAATCACCTAAAAGGCAACCAAACATCGTGGAGAATTGTCAATAATCACTTGTGTACTTATACTAATATATAAAAAAAATCTATAACCCTTTCAAATGGCCGTTTTACAAACAGTTTCCGCTTTTAGAGGTTGTTCCGTTTTTCATGTAATTCCCTGTCCCCCGATTCTATAGGTTTTAACACAAAGCTTAATTGTGTCTTTACTTTACAATAGTCATTTCAAGTGCGAAGGTAGTAATCAGTGATATACTTATAAACATCAAAGTTCTGGAGATTATGGAAAGGTTTTCGATCAAATCCATCGCTTTAAAATGGTACTACTTTTGGTCGATAGGGAGTGCGGTTATCTACACGGAATTCAGTAATATATACATGAAACAACTTGGATTAAGTCCACGGCAGATTGGATTGACAAATCTTATGGGAGTTCCGAATTTATTCATGCCATCATGTCTATTCATTGGCGACAAATTTCGGGTGCGAAAACTTTTTGTTACTATTGGATTAGTTTTTCTGGTCGTATGCTATATTCTTCCGCTGCTTCCTTTAATAGTTTCGCCATCAGTGATTTTTTGCTTAACATCAAACAAGTCGATAGCGTTTACATCTGGACAGTCTATCAATAGTTCAGTGATTTCACGAAATTCGTTTCCTACCAATAATTTAACCTACAAATTAGGCGACTCGGAGCAAGGAACAGCCCCCACAAACACAGAGGCAAGTTATTCTGAAAGTGTTCCCTGGCTTAGCAAATTGTTTATCTTGATGCTTGTCACCAGAACTGCATATGAATTTCCACACAGAATGCTTGTATCTCTAGGAGATTTGGCGACCATTACGTTCCTTAAAGAGCGCAGAGCAAATTACGGTGCATATTATATGTGGAGCCATATTGGTGGTGGCATTTCGATATTCACTGTTGCTATGTTGGCATGGTTTATCAAAATTAACATTTGTGGGACAGAAGATTATGGTTATTTTACAATGTATATCGTTGCAGGCTGTATGGCGCTACTTTCAATGCTTTCTCTGCCGTGGTTTCGGTATGAATACAACGAAAATAAAACTATTAACTGGTCAGAAGTAAAATCAGCATTATGCAATGCTCATTTTGCACTCATGTTTTGCATCCTTTTTTGTACCGGAATTCCTGTAGCGTTTCAGACATTCTGGGAGTTTTGGTATTTAGACGGATTGTCTGCCAGTCCTTTATTATTGGGTATAGCTGGGTTAATTCGTCGGCCAATGCTGGCAATTTGGATGTTATTGTCTTGCGAGTTGCTGAAAAGAATTGGTGAGCTGAAAACTATATGTATCGCTTTCTTTCTGTTTGCTCTGTCCTTTTTGGCTCTGTCCTTCACACGGGTACCATGGTTTGTGCTGGCTATCGACGTGTTTCAAGCGGCTGCTTACGGACTGGCATATTGTAGCTTCACAGTGCATTTTTCAAAAGCAGGTTCAAAAACATGTTCAGGAGTTATTCGCGGTAAGTCTTTCTTTAACTCGCGTTTCCAACTAGCGTCGAATTTACCGGCTTAGGGTAATTGTATGTAAAATTCCCTCACATATAGAAATTAGAGGAAAACGGCAACGAAAATTTCTTTGCCTAATCAGTTGTTGAGATTAAAATGTTGAGATTATTTACATATTCTTTTTGCGAATTCTTCCAAACTATCTTAATTTTTGCAATATTTGAAACTAAAATCGTCTTGTTATATTTAACAAAATTAATATAAAACATTTTCCGTGTTGATATACAGTTATATCAACACGAGTGGAAATTGGGATAATGAGAAATTGTGTGGAAACACGACGCCCGAAGGGCAGAGTGTTTTCACACAATTTCGAGTTTTCCCAATTTCCACGAGTGTTGATATAACTGTATATCAATACGGAAAAAATGTTTTATATTTGCTTTATAATATAGCACAAAGAAATTTATAATATAGCATTTGTAAATTCTGAACGCTGATTGGCTAAGAGCCGTGTTGATATAACTCAATGTCAACACGGGAAATTTTCCGTCGCTTGTAAACACGGAAATTTTTCTTATACTCGGGCTTTTGACATTTCTATATTATAAAAAAATATAAAACATTTTTTCCGCATTGATATATAATTATATCAACACACGTGAAAGTTGGGAAAACTCGAAATTGTATGAAAACACTCCGCCTTTCGGGCGTCGTGTTTCCAACAATTTCTCGTTTTGCCTAATTCCACTCGTGTTGATATAACTGTATATCAACACGGAAAATGTTTTATATTTGTTAAATAAAGAAAGAAATTTTCCGATGTTTCCGTGTTGACTTTGAGTTATATCAACATGGCTATTAGCCAATCAGCGTTCAGAATTTACAAATGCTATATTATAAAACTAGAAGTTACTATCGCAAGGAAAATGCTGCCTCACCCCCAAGGGATCAAAGAAGGCAGCATCCACAATTTGCTGAATAAGGAGCTGTTTTTATGATCCCGCTTTGCCAAGACAAGATGTGCATGAGGCAGGATGATTTATTATCTACTTACATTGAAGACGTTGACAAGCAGCTTCCCAGGGAAAAGATAAAAACAAATCGTTTTCTTGTAAAACTATTTTCTTGTTTACAACCTCGATTCTTCGACTGTATCACTGAGCGTTTGACAAAAATATCTGTCCCGTCAAGAAGAGATGTTATAATGATATCCGATGACGCAAGCGAGCCTGCGATGTTTTGGGCACCTCGTATCCAGTGTAGGTACTTCATCTTGTTTGGATATAACGGATCCAACTCACAACTCCGACGTAGACCGCGCGTAAGAAGGGCTCTGGGTACGAGAATGCGACGTAGTTAATCAACCTCGATCCCCGGAATTAATTAGTTAGTTTTAATGAAAAGTTTGATAAGCCATAAAAATTTTGAAAGATTTGACCAATATAAATGTCTAAATATATGCAATTTGTAATACCAAATATATGTGGAATTCTACATAATCGTATTATAAAATCTTTCTCAGATTCGCATAATAAGTGTTACGCGTAGTACCGCACATGCAGAATATACGAGCGTTGGCTCACTTCGTATATTTGAACTTGATCAAAACATGCAATTTTAAAATGCATATATATTCACCTAAATAAAAATAATGTTGTTTTCACGTCACATCCAAACTCAGTTACACAACGTTGAGTTTCAACGTTTAATTGAAGCGACGTTCATGAGTAACGTTTCTGTCACGTTTGATTATTAGTAGCCGTACGTCGTAACACAACGTTGCTGCAACGTTGGCATATAACATTGCTACAACGAAAACTACTTTTTATCGAACGTGATTATTCAACGTTCAACCAACGTTGCGGCAATGTCAGAATGTAATATTCCCACAACGTAGATAACGAACGTTAATCGGCAACGTTCAACCAACGTTGATACAACCTGTTCTTGTTCGAAGTAAGAAAACATTGTAACCTGAGTATCAGGCTCTATTTTACAAATAGAGCCTGACACAAAACTTAACCTGGTCGCTTTCCACCCACAGCAAAGTTTATATTTAGTATCCAATCAAAATGTCGCACTAGGAGAAATTTAAATTTCACACAACAACAACAATCTAATTATAGCATAGGCAGCCCACTAAACGGCTGAATTTAAAATAAAACTGCAATGAACTTATAAACTTAACAAAAATAATCAGAAATTAGCGAAATATATTGGAAATGTAGCTTATATTAAATCGCCACCCAATTGCTCTCTCCTCCGCAGAGGTTTCAGTGACTACAATGAGCTTTACATGGCGCTTACCGTATTTATCAACAAACTGACATATAATTATAAAGTATATATATATTAAGTATACTTTATAACTATACGTCAGTTAGTCGATAGTGCAATCTGATGGCGATTTAATATAAGCTACATTTGCAATATATTTCGCTAATTTGCGATTATTTTCTAATTTTACTGCAGTTTTAATTTAAATTCAGCCGTTTAGTGGGCTGGATATAATTGTAGTTCGTTATAAAATATATCAACAACTGACAATAGTATAATCTAATTAGCACCAGCCAATCAAATGACAGATTTAAAAAATCGTTTGTCTAATCGGCCAATCAGACGAAAAAGCCAGAATCTGGCTTTTTACATGCGCCGCGGTAAAGAATTGTATCAGGCCCTCCTTCATTCGCCGCCGCCATTTAATCCTGGCGAATGAAAACATAAGGGCCTGATACTCAGGTTATAGAATACCGTCCTTATAATTTCAAAAGTAGATGAGGCTTTTTTTCATTATTCAATTTTTTAGAAATGTGTGAAAATTGGTTGAACGTCAATAAACCTGTTCAGTAATATGCCAGCAAACTTTAAAACTAGGTACAGTAGCGAATGCCTGCAAAGTGAAAGCTTTGCTGTACAAGTAGACTTTGCCCTTAATACATGACTTCTGCGATGAATTATAGTTTAAAGTGTAGATAATTGTTGAAATAACGAAATATTTTGAAATAATTATTTTTTTGCGGCAGCATTTTGGACATGCAGGCAGAGGACGGTATTCTATGACCTTAATTCCCTCGGCCTAAACAAACTTAGCCGAAGTTACGGCAGTGCGCCAACAATGACATAGACCCGCCAGCCCCCGCCGGTATCTCCAGAAAATTCTACATAGAATCCATGCCGAGCTAGTCACGCCGGGTCAGCTCTTCCCCAAAATCGGCCATCTGATATAAACTTTTTCAATATATTTCGGATGGACATGAAACTTGCTACATCAATATAACTTTTCATTCCGAACAATCGTATGTTTTTTATTTTTGAGATTTAACGGTTTTTGGCGGGAAAATGACGTCACGAAACCTCCAGTTAAAATTTACTTTCAATATCTTAATAGTTTTGTCGCAGAATTTGGAAGAACATGTCATGAACAGTTCAAAACTGAAAACGGATTTTAAATATCTAAACCTAATCCAAAGTTATTTCACTATAAAAACCGTGAAAAATCTAAAAATAGTAACAAAATGGTGGAAAATTCGATTCTAAACTTCCTGTATCTCGTGATTAGATTAAGATATTTAAAATCTCTTTTCAGTTTTGAACTCTTCATGACATGATCTTCCACATTCTGCTTAAAAACTATTAAGATATTGAAAATAAATTTTAACTGGAGGTTTCGTGACGTTATTTTCCCGCCAAAAACCGTTAAATCTCAAAAATAAAAAACATACGATTGTTCGGAATGGAAAGTTATATTAATGTAGCAAGTTTCATGTCCATCCGAAATATATTGAAAAAGTTTATATCAGATGGCCGATTTTTGGGAAGAGCTGACCCGGCGTGAGTTGCTATTGTCCTAGTTTACATTTAGCATAGAATACAACAAAAGTAACTAAGCTTTAAAATTATCTAAACGAATGAGTATTAGCTCTTATACATAGCTGATAGCTCTAAAATGCTTGGTTATTTTTGCTTGATTCTATGCTTATCTAAACTAGAACAGCAGTAACTAGACATGAGTTTCCCTAAAAGCCACAAGTGAATTGGGCGTAAACAACGTTATTAACAACCAAATTTGTCCACTGACTTTACTCAAAAATTAATAACCGAAGTATAGCTTCGAGAGAAGACCTTTAAAACTAAAAACTATTACCAAAAACCCGTTAAAAACTTACCATTAACTCATTAAGACAGGCTGTTCTTTCATTCAAGCGTTGTATCTTTATCCACGCTCGAATTGCGAGTTGAAATTTTTATGAACCAGTACAGCGACAAAGTTTGAAATTTCGGTTGGTCTTTCACAGCAAATAACATCACAATAACTGAATGTATTTTCCTCTCCAGTGACTAAACACTTTCCCTTTCCATTGAGTTATAATTTCCACAACGAACTAGTCGCTATAACGTAAAATAAGCGGTTATTTTAAAACAAAAATGCCCAAGTATAAACGAGCGCCATCTTTGTCTTCTCGAGAATCAAAAAATTTTGTTAATTTTCCCGCCAAAAGCTCCCGCGAAGTCCCGTATGAAAATGACGTCACAGGTCAGAGTGCGGGGGGGGGGGGGG